GTGATTATAATTGTGTTTAATGTCATGTGATATTAACAAACTGGTCATGAATGGGGTGTTACAATAGAACTCATAAAATTTGAGTCGACATGTCAAGTATGCTATGGGTAAAAAGGATAGGAATAAATTTGAAAAAAGAAGAAGTTTGTGATCGAGCACAAACCTCTTAATTATGTTCTTACGATGATGAATTTCCAATCTGCAAGGCATCTCCTCTTAATATATTTATTAAGGACGCTAGGATTATTCAAAGTTTGACCTCAAATCTGAATTTTTGCAGTTAGGTATTGATCCTACATATATAAGATAGCATTATGTATACCTAATGCCTAGTACTAATGGGGATATTTTGCCCTTTGGCCTCAAGGTTATTCCTTCACTACTTAAATAAGCCACGACCTGCATCTTTAGGCTAAACCTTGATAGTATTTTCATCTCTATATTGATTTGTTATTTTATTCTCAAAAGATGAATACTCCGATAAGCTATGAAGCACCGATATCGATACGGCATTTTTGATACGTTCTTGATGCGTGTGTCCGATACGTTACTTCAAAAATACTAATATTTCAATACGTTCCGATACGTTTTAGTATTAAATAATATTTTAAATATAGTGTACTTCACATTAACAAAATATAATAAAATCGTAGGCACAAATAGTAGATTATCCATACAAAATTGATAAATATACAGAATATACAATATACAAATATACAAATATACAGAATATAACAATATAAATTTTATGTAAATAGAATATACAAATATAATATAAAAATATAAACAAAAGAAAAATAATTATATAAAAATATAATAATATAAAAAACAGAATATACAAATATAAAAAACAGAATATACAAATATAATAATATAAATTTTATGGAAATAGAAATTTATATACAAAAAATAATTATTATATACTCTCTCAAAAATATTAAATCTCCTATTATAGAAATTACATAATAAAAAATAAAACATACATATACAATAAAAATAAAAGGAGATCCTTCATTCACTTACCTTCCGTGCGTGAGTGAGCAGCGACCGACAAAAAAGAAAGACGATGGAGGAACAGCTAAGGAGGAAGAAAGATCGAGGAGAAACAGCGAGCATCGACAGCCAAAGAGGAAGAAAGATCGAGGAGAAACAGTTACCACCGAACAGCTACCAACGAAACCGTGGAGGCGCCGAGGAGAAACAGCGATGGCCGACGACGAACAACGGCGAAGGAGGAACAGCGACGACAAATGAACGACGGAGGAGGAACAAGAATGACGTTGTGGCGTGTAGGTCAGGACCAGGTGAGAGTTCTTTAAGGGCTTCTGATGTGATTCAATCGATTTGGGTTCTTTTTGTAAAAAAAAAAACACGTTTTATTTTTAAAAAAAATTACTGAAATCCATTGACCCATTTGATACATAAAGAATGAGTATCCTAACGTATCCGTATCGGACGTGTGTCCGATACGTAGAATTTTTTTTTTTTTTTTGCGTATCCGTGCTTCATAGCCGATAAGTAGTTATTTGCCCGATTTGTAGAAATAGCCAAACAATATAGGATTATGTTTTCATAAAATAAAATTCAGTTGAGCCAAACAAAAATTGGTTTTGTATGCATTTCTCTCAAGGAAAGTATATATCAACCTCAATTTCATACTGCAGAGGAATTATTAATTTTCCTAACCAAAAGCTCAGAGTAAATTAGATTCAGCAATTTTTTTTGAAATTATCATTATCTCAAAAAATTTATTCCAATAAGTTACCAAGTATACTAGCCAACTCATAGCGGTTAGAGAAGAAAAATTCTTTCTCTATGGGGAATCCAACGAACAGGATACTCAAAGTCTTCAGACAAAATGGGCGGACGACTCCTATTCTTATTATCAGCATTTTGACCTATTTGATGTAAAAATAAAATATTTTATCAAAATAATGCAACAAAATGTTTATCGATGTGTGGGGTATATACAACCAAGTCGTATCTGATTTGTGCAAAAGAGAATGCGTGTGTGCTATGTGATATGCACAACAAATTGCGCATAATATCATATGTAACTTGAAGGTACACACATCTTATATGCGACTTGCAAGGCGCATTCGTTCTTGCATAAATTGCTCACCTCCCCCGTATGCTACTTGTACACACACCTTTGTATAAGTCTCATTGCATTATTTTAAAAAAATGGTTGGATTTTGAAACATTTCAAAAAATAAATAAAGAACATTAAAATCCCTAATACAAGGAAATTTTTGTACAAATGCGAGTGACCAATATTAAGGCATTGTGTGCATTAAGGAAATTGATAATAAGTAGTGTTATTTATCGTTTCACAACTAGTTTGATTCGGGATTGATCCCGAGATTAAAAATTTAAACTCTTTTCAAAGATGATTTAAAAAATTGTAATAAATTAGCATACCTTGTAAAATAACTCTCGGGGTAAAATATAAAAGAGCTAAGGGTGTGTTTGGTACAAGAGAAATTTTTTGGTGACCGGGAATCATGATTAATGGGAATACAGTAGAAATTGAGTTTACTTGGAATCTTACGAAAGAGGTGTTTGGTTCGCCGAAATATTACCGGGAATATTAGGTAAAAATTACTGATTCCATATTTGGTTTAGAACGAAATATGACTTGAAATATGAGGTTATTTTACAAAAATAACCCCAAACTATTTTTACTTTTGTAATGGATAGATTGGGTCTAAATTTTTATGTGTATTGGGGTATTTTTGTCTCAAAATTTATTGTTGTGATTTCCCTTTACTTGGTATTCTGATTGGTATTCCGAATTACCATATTATTTTTGGTAATCTGAATAGTGATTTTTCTTTATAAATCAAATTACCGGTAATCCTTGGATATCCGGGAATCGTAATTTATTCCTTCTACCAAATGTGATAATTACATTTATCAAAGAAGAATTACCGGTAATTCTCTTCAAAAACTTGAAACAAACACCCAGGGACTCCCGTATTACAGGAAAGTTATTGTCTCCCGTCACAAAGATAAAGAAAAATGTGAGATTTATATGTTAAAAAAAAAAACACCAGCATGAAAATTGATAGATAATTTTTTTCCTGTTTCAAGAGAGTCAATTGACTCAATATAAAATTTAAAAAACTAACAATTACAAACTAATGAATAAAAAATAAATTATAATCCATCGCACTTCTAGATAGGTCCAAGTTGTACAAATCGAGAATGAGGCTGTTTGTCACATGGCTGCAGTCATCACATGATCATGTCTGAAAGCAACTTTGAAATATTGTCCGCAGGGTAGGCCCATTTTGATTAACAAAGCATTAATCTCGTATCATTAAATTAACAAAAATCTGATTTAAGTCATGTCGGTCGGAAAAAGGAGTTCCCTTTAATAAAAAACAGAGGAAGGTACGGTTCCACGTTTGCCATTTTAGACAAAGATGACAGTGTTGCAGGCTTGCAGCCCTTATTGCATTGCTTGATTGGTGAGTGGTAATGCATTCCCATTTCCTTTTCCCAAAAACTCAATAATTCCCTAGATATTTTTGTTAAATGGACCCCCACCTACATGATAGACTTTTTTTTTTTTTTAAATTTTCTATGAATAGTGAATCCCTATTATGTATGCATGATAATTTTCTATACCACCCGCCGATAGGACACGGCACAAGTATAAACAAAAAATTCTTGTTCTGATCAATACTTTTTTAAATTTATGGTGTGTTCATATTGACAAAAACTGAGAAGATAAAATTTGTTCGTGTCGCATACGTATTTAAAACTTGAAATTCATATTCTTTAATCTTCTTACTAGTTGGTTGTAGTTTTGACATGTTGTAAACAAATTATTTATGTTTTATCATATCATACCAATCCATATAAGATGCAATACACTTTGAGGACTATAGACAAATTATTCTTTCATGCTGTGTTGTGTGAACCTGTATAATATACGACACACTTTGTGATTGCAGATTATTCATATTGTGTTATATCAATTTATGATGCACGGACACTGACACGGGACACGGAACACGACACGCCGACACGTTAATTTTAAAAAATGGCATATTTCGACATGTTGAGACACGTTTTGATATTAAATAATGTTTTTAATATATATAATATAATTTATATTTAATACATATAACAGTTCATAATAAATCATATAACCAATCAAATATTCAAATTTTATAACATAAATATAAAAACATGTCCAAGCATTGACTGCGTGTCTTAAAAAGTTGACTGCGTGTCCGAAAAACGTGTCAGAGAATTGATCACGTGTCCTAAAATATTGACCGTGTGTCGGACGCGTGTCCGAGCGTGTCCGTGTCGGACACGTGTCCGACACACATTATTCAAAAAATTTGACGAGTTCGTGTTTCGTAGATGTCAATCCATAAAATAAGCGAGTCGTGTTCGAATTGAAGATTTTATTCCGATTTCAATTTTATTTTGTGTCCCTATTGAGTGTATTCGTATTCATGTCATATTATGTCAACTCGAATTGTTATACCTATTGTTATATGTGTCTATGTAAATAATCTGACCCAATCCACTTCACCTTCAATCTATCATAAAACGGGTCAATTCGTGGAGTTCCATCCAATATTATTAAACTGGGATCGATTATCAACCCGGTACTGAGTCAACGGGTTATTAATTCAACTGGTGAATCACTAGTCTAGTTAAATTTAATTTATATTAAATTATATAAGAATTTATTAAATGGTGCAATTTAACCAAAGAGAAAAATTGTGATATTTTAGACGAAAACTTATATAATTTACTTAAATTACTCGATCAAACTTTAAAAAAAAATAAAAATAAATAGATTAACTCAACGAATTAACCTGGACCCAAACCAGTTTAACTCATCCTTAAGCGGGGTGAATTTGTGACTGGTTGGAAAATATAACCCAACCCAAATTTTTTTTCGGGTACAAACCCAACCCAAATTTTTTTCCCCACAAAGAGGTAGACAGAAGATGTGGATGCGGTTGTGGTAAAGTTGAGAAGCTCCTTATTACTTAAAAAAAAAAAAAAAAGTTAAGAAGATCCTCCCTATATAATATAGATCCAATTCTTTCTTAATTCTCAGCCTCACAAATCACAACCCTCAAGAGTTTCTCTCCACCAAATCTTAATTCTGAACCAACATGGCAAAGGGTTCCCTTCTTTTCCTTCTTCTTTGTGTCCTGTATTTTGCAGGCATAACAAAGTTTACAACTGCAACTCCCATCAATTTCATCAAGTCCTCTTGCAGCACCACTCAATACCCAGCTCTTTGTGTTGAATCTCTCTCTGTCTATGCCGCAACCATCCAACAAGACCCTCACCAATTGGTCCAAACAGCCTTATCACTAAGCCTCAACAAAACTGAGTCAACCAAGACATTTGTCACAAAGTGCAACAAATTTAGGGGTCTCAAGGCCAGAGAATATGCTGCTTTACATGATTGTGCTGAAGAAATAAGTGATAGTGTGGATAGGCTTCAACGTTCACTCAAAGAACTTAAACTATGCAAGGTCAAGGGTGAAGACTTCACATGGCACATAAGCAATGTTGAGACATGGGTTAGTGCTGTCTTAACTGATGAAACAACTTGCAGTGATGGGTTTGCAGGAAAAGCACTGAATGGGAAAATCAAAGCTTCGATTAGGTCTAGAATGGTGAATGCTGCTCAGGTTACTAGTAATGCTCTTTCACTCATTAACCAGTATGCTGCAAATCACTAGCAAACTCATGAATAAGAGTCCATAGTTTTTTGCTTTTGAGGTTCTTGTTAATTCCTTTTCTGTTTTATGTTATATATTGTAGTTGAATCTATACAGAATGTGGATCTTTGTTATGCTGTTGAAGTGTTCAATAGATTTTCCTTTTTAATTTGCTTTTCTTGTTTTGCATCTAAAATTCTTGATCTAGGAATATAATATTCCTATAATATGTTTTTATGTATTATGAACTGTGGATATTGGTGTATTAAAGTTTGTTTGTTTTCATTCAATTATTTATTTTTTCAAATTTAAACTTTATTAGATTTGCAATTTAGATAAAATATAACTCGTAATATAATTTTCCTGGAGTTTGGTCGGAATATGCTTATGAGTTTAGTATGAAGATCCTAAATTTAAGACCCAAGTTGTACCATAAACAATTGGAAATTGAGGAAGAAAATATGGAATCAAAGTCTATAATAGTGATAATGACCAATTGAATACGGTGGACGAAAATTGGAATCAAAGTGTGAAATGATCACTCACTGGTTCAAATGGGCCCTCTGCTGTACCACCCTCCTCCCCACGCGCCAAAGAATAAATAACCCCAACCAGAAGCATACTAACCCCCCCCCCCCCCCCCCTTTTTATTCCCCACTCTCTTTAGTCTTTACATACAATTAAATTGAGATTTTTGGCCTATAATTTTAATTTCTTTCTTATAATTGTCTATAAAATAGTTTATTTTTATATTTTGGGTACATTCATTAAAGTGAAGGAGAAGGGACTTTTCGCCCCTCGTTCTCGTTACATAAAATTAAATTGAGATTATTAGCCTATTATTTCAAGTTCACTTCATAATTTTGTTTACAATTTTTTTTTTTCATTGGAGGTATGAGTACTTAGACAAAAGAAAAGGATATAGAGGTAAAAAGCATAATCGTTGGGGAAAAAAAGCCATTTTTTCCTCCCTCTAATAAGCCAACCAGGGAAGCGAAAAGCCACCTAAAGGAATTTAAAGTAGATGATAGATTCAAATATCAATAATGACAACATGACATATCAAACAAAAAGGGCATGATAAAAATTCACCAAACCATTGCCCATAAGGATATAAAGTTTGACAAAAGGTAGATTTAGAGCCACTTTGATTTTGTTTTTCTCGATAAGCAATTTTTTAAAAAAATATTTCTCTTTGTAAATAAGTGTTTGGATTAATTTTAAAAATAAAATAAAAAATTAAATCCCATTTTTTAAGTTAAAATTTCTTGTTTATTAAAAAATAAAAATTTAGAGTCAAATAATTTTATCATCACCCCGTTGCTGCTACCACACCACCGCCACTTCTAAGTTATATCGTTGTCGACTCCTCAGACCAATCCTACCAAATTTTGTTTTCACAATTTATTTTTGGTTCATTTTTTTTACGGTTAATGTAGATAACTTATTTAATGAGCTCAAAATAACGTTGTTTTGAGGCGAAAATCAAGATATTTTTATAATTATAATTTATTTCAGGGATTATAATAGTCTTTTTCATTATAATTTTTTAATTTTTCAACACAAAACGACGTCGTTTTGGGAGCGAATGTAGATAACTTATCTACATTCATTTTAGAAACTTTAAAGTCATTATTTATATATATATATTTTAATTATTTTATGGCTTTAATGTTCCTGTAGTGAATGTAGATAAGTTATCTATATTTGCTCCAAAAACGACGTCATTTTGATTGAAAAATTAAAAAATTATAATGAAAAAAATTATTATAACTCTGAAATAAATTATAATTATAAAAATATTTTGATTTTTGCCTCAAAACGACATCGTTTTGAGCTCAATATAGATAAATTATTTACATTAGCTGTAGAAAAAGCGAACACTTATTTTATATATGAAAAATATTTTTTTTTAATATTCAAATAGTTTTTTTTAATTAAAACTGTATTTCATGTATTATATCTAAATATAAAGTTACAAAATAAAATCTTTCTAAAAAATAAATCATTTTTTTTTCAAAAATTCATCAAGCCAACAGTTAATGAATCGTATAATTGAAAGGCTAAAGATTTAATTATTAATTAATATATTGAAATTCATTATGTGTGTCTCAGTCAGTACTTTATATTTTTTATTAAAATAAAAAAGATAATGTGATATTTTAACGTTAATTTTGATTGTATTTTAAAAGTGTTTATGAATGTAATTATAATTATGAAAAAACATTTTCTCCTACTAGTGACTCCTACTAGTATAAGTGGTGTCTACAAAATAATGAAAAGAAAAAAAATTTATGATGAGATCCACCTATGCTATGAATCACTAGCAGAAGAAACATTTTCTTCTTTAAAAATGTTTTCCCATTAAATATGCATAAAAATCGTATAATTTTTATCATTTTATATTTCTATTTAAATTAATGTTTTAAGATTTGGACGGGACTTGTTAGTTTAATCAATTAGATTGAATGCGTCATATTTCTTGTTCCATCATTTTTTTCTTATGTTGTTTGATTTGATATTGTTCGAATCTATGATGCACGGACACTGAAACGAGATACGACACGACACGCCGATATGTTAATTTTAAAAAATAACATATTTCGACATGTTGGAACACGTTTTGATATTGAATAATATTTGTAATATATATAACATAATTTATATTTAATAAATATAATAGTCCATAATAAGTCATATAACCAATCAAATATTTAAATTTCATAACATAAATATAAACAAATTTTTTTTTTCGTACCTTGTTAATTTTTCATGTCAAATTTCATAACAGAAAAAAATTGATTTATAAATAATTTTTTTATTTTTAGTTAATAAAATATAATTAAGACTAAAAAAAAGTGTCCGCACGTTGAACACGTATTCGAAAAAATTGACTGTGTGTCCGAAAAACATGTCGTAACGTGTCAAAGAGTTGACCACGTGTCTTAAAATATTGATCGCATGTCGTGTCGGACACGTGTCCGACACGCACAATTTCAAAAAAACGACGAGTCCGTGTATTGGAGGTTCTGGATTTCGTATGTTGAAATAATCGAACTATGACTTTTAAAATATATTTTTTTCTCTAAAAAATAGGCACTAAAACACATAATCTCCTTTATATATAACGTTTTCGTTTGGCGCTTCAAAATTCTTTTATAAAAAATTTGATTTATTGCCAACTGCTTAAATTTTTTTTTCTTTTTTCTTTTTCTGTTCTATTGAGAGATTGGGCGACAAAGACAAGTCGGTGTCTCATAGTGGGATCCAAGGGAAGAAATTTTGGAAGCATTAAATTCTAGAGTTTCAAGCCTAGGTTTTTCCAAGTCCACCCCTAGTGTAGTGTAATACGGGCAAGTTTGACGGCGTAGAGTAAAGACCTTGTTCTTGAATTTTTTTTTCTTTTTTTGCAAAATTTGTGCCTGAATTTGGAGCATTGGATATGCGCCAAATCTAAATAAGCCGTTGTGACTTCTCGTAGAATACTAGGCAACGTGGAATGTGGATCTATATCTGTCCATGATAGAAAAGAGAAAAAAGAATTTTTATCTTTAGGTCTATCTCCATTTTTGCTTCTTTACCAAATATTATTATTTAATTAAATAATAATAAAATATAAAATTATAAATGTTTTTTTATTTGTAATTGCAACTGCCTTCAAACTATGAAGATCTAGATCTGTTTTTCCACAAGATAAAGTATGAGTATGTTGATTTGACAGAGACAGAAAACATAGTGGTATATACTAGTATACCCAGGTGTCATTGTACTGGTCTTAGACTAGTTGAAGGTGCTAAGGGGAAGATATTTAAGGGCTACGATTATGACATGAGCTGAGGATTTCGTAGATTAACAATAATGGAGAACGAATAGAGAAGATGAATAGTGAGGGAGCTGAAATCTCTTTATATAAGAGGTCAGCCCTGTGGGCCCCACTAAGTGTGAGGCTGTCTGACCTATGACGTGTAAAAGGTCATGAGTGTGTGGGGAGTGTGAGGGGACACATGTACAAGGGAGTCATGGGCTCCACATGCCAAGTGATGATAGTCCTTCCGGGCAGCTATTCGTGCTAGCTGGTAGGGGTGTTAACGGGTCGAGCCGAGCCGAGTTGGACTTTGGTCTTAAAATGTTAAGCCTGTGTTTAAATGTGTCAGCCTGACCTAACCTGTTACCTGTCATGAATATAATTATCGGCTTGTAGCCTGTCTTATTTATAAAAAATAAAAGTCTGGTTTAGCCTGTTTAAAAAAAATAAGACAACAAAATTTATTCAAACAAAATATATGATCAAAAACACTAATAACTTCATAAAGATTCATAAATTCAATGTATATCCAAAAAGCATAATATAGAACAAAAACATTCAAAAAAATTGTTTAACCAATAAAATGAGGTGAAATGGATTGAGGAGAGAGAGAGAGAGTTATTATGAATAATATAAAAAATATAAAATAAAAAAAAGTTAGTATACTAGGTCAGCCTGAAAGGCTTTGAGGTCGAGCTTTTGAATTAGAGCCTGAGGCCTTTTTATTAAACGAGCTTTTATACAAGTTCAAGCCTGGTTTCAACAATCACTTTTAGACATGAAAGCCCAAGCCTTCACGAGCCAAGCTTAAGGCTCCTGAAAGGCCCCTGGTTCGTTTAGCACCCTTACTAGCTGGGCAGAGCTATCCAGCAGGACCAAAACAGATGCATTAATATTTTTATTATATATTTCTCTAATATATCCCTTCACACAAAGGGTATTGGATTTGAAGTCTGGACAATACATAATAATATGGAGGACGCTGATACTATGTAAAGAATGAATACAAAATTACTATATTAATAATTTTATAATATATGTATCTAACCTTCTATTTTACTTTTCAACAATATTTGTAGGACTATTAGACTTTTGAAGATAAGTGTGCCCGAATTACACATTACTCCTTCCATAATTGTATGACCCTTTTCTAGTTGTGGGTCAGAAAATTGGGGTGCAAATTTATTTGAACTTTCAGACAATAATGGTGCCCATCCGCTACATCAGGCGCAAAGCCGTATGTTATTTATATTATTGGCCAAAGAAGTAATTAGGTGTATATTCAATTCACTTCAGCAAAGCAAGCACGGACAGGGCAAGAAGTCAAAAAACGTTAACTGAAAACTAAGAATTTTGAAGTCGTGATCACACTTCTGTTAGGACCAAGTTGAGATTACCCCTACCCCAACTCCTTATATACATACATATTTGTCCCTTTTGATCAATACCTAAT